TTCTAGTTTCATACCATTGCACTTGGAAAAGAAGCTTGATATGATTTCAGTCTTCTTGAATTTATTGAGACTTGTTTTGTTTCCCAGCATATGGGCTATCTTTGAGAATGTTCCATATGCACTCAAGAAGAAGGTGTATTCTGCTGTTTTTGGATTAAATGTTCTATATCTTTCTATCAAATCCATTTAGTGTAGAGTTTCATGTAAGGCTAGTGTTTCCTTTTTGACTGCCTGGATAATCTTTCCATCAATTTTAGTGGCATAATAAGTCCCTGCTATTATTGTGTTGTTGCAGTTATTTTCTCTCTTTAGTCTGTTAATGGTTGCTTTATATACTTTGGTTCCCTCTATGTTAGGTGTATATATATTTATAACAGTTCTGTCTTCTTGGTAGAATGTCCCCTCTGATTATATAATGTATATCTTTGTCTCTTGTTATCTTTTTTTTTTTTCTTTTTTGGTGAGGAAGACTCGCCGTGAGCTAACATCTGCTGCCAATCCTCCTCTTTTTGCTGAGGAAGATTGGCCCTGGGCTAACATCCGTGCCCATCTTCCTCTGCTTTATATATGGGGTGCTGCCACAGCATGGCTTGATAAGTGGCGCATAGGTCTGTGCCCGGGATCCAAACCTGAGAACCCCGGACCACCAAAGCAGAGCACGCGAACTTAACCACTATGCTACTGGGCTGGCTCTCAGCTGTTATTTCTTTAAGTAAGCTCTCTGCTCCTTTCTCCTTCTCTTCTCCTTTTGGGATATCCATTATCCTTGTGTTGATTTTCTTAATAGAGTTGGATATTTCTCATAGAATTGCTCTGTTTTTTGAAAATCTTAGTTCTCTCTCCTCTTCCACCTGAATCATTTCTAGATTTCTGTCTTTGAACTTGCTAATTCTTTTTTCCACGTGGTTTCCTCTGTTTCCAGTGTTGTCTGTTTTCTTCTTAATCTCATTTATTGGGCTCTTCAACTCTAGAATTCTTTTTTTCAGTTCATGTCTCTTTTTAGTGAAGTGTTCCTTCTATTAAGTAATTTTCTTCCTGACTTCAGTGAACTGCTTTTCCGAGTGTTCTTGTATGCTGTCATGTTTCTTCATGGCAGCTGTTTGAATTCTGTTAATTAGATTGCAGTGATCCATGACTTCAGCATTGGTTTCTGGAGAAATGTCATTTTCTCTTTATGCTACCTGGTTACTGTTATTCTTCATGGTGCTTAATGAGTTATTCCTCTGCCCATGCATTTGTGGTAGGAAACATTTTTCTTAATTAGGTAAGCTTTGTTTATTTTCCTTCTAGGCTGCTTCGGGTTGTATTTGAGACCCTGACCTTTTCATCCTCCACTGTCTCTCCCAGAGGAGTTATCAGTGCCCTCATTGTGCTGATTCTGCCTCCAAGGTTGCCCCCGAGGTACCTTGGTGCCTATGATTTTGCTGCAGTTGTGGATGTTGTCCCCAGGTTCACCAGGGTGTGAGCACCTCTGCTGCCTCTGGAGTCACCTGAGTCGCAGGTTCCCCTAGTGCAGCAGAGGAACAGGGAGAGTGAGGCAGGAGCTGGGATCATGGGCATTTTTGCCATGTCTGGTTTTTTGGATCTGTATGTGCCACTGCTGTTGGGGGGGGATAGAAATTTCAGGCGCCTCTGCAGCTGGGGAGGACTGGGGTCAGTGGCCCCATTGTCGCTGTTGTCTGGCTCTACGTGGGCTCTCCACGTCCTTGGGTGCTACTGCCCAATGTACCCTCTTTACTGCTGCTCCTGGGTTAGCTGGGGGTGTTAGCAGTTCGGCAGCTGGGGATGCTGGGTTTGCAAATGTTGTCACTGCTGCTGGATTGCCCAGGTTCATGGAAGACAGTCACCACCACAAGGGGAGGAGTATTTGGGTCACAAGTGCCACTGAGGTTCCCTAAGTTCTGGTTTCCGGTGGCCGTGTGGTTTGTGGAACTTCAGGTCACAGGCACTCCCACTGCTACCAGGGACTTGGGGTATTGTATGTAGCATCTGCTTCTGGCAGGGCCGGTGTCGGGGGCAATGCTACCAGGGGCTGAGTTATGGGCACCACTGTGTCTCTGAAACCTCAGGTTTCGGGTGCCACCTGCCACTGCTTGGTGAGGGAAAGGGGCTGAGCCATGAGTGCCATTGTGGCTCTTGCAGCCTCTGGTCTTGGGCACAAGCACAATTCCTGGATTCTCAGGCGACTGACACCACCACTGCTGCCTGGGGTTTCTGGGTCTTGGATGCAGCCCCTGCTGCTGGAAGAGCCAGTATCGGGGGCACTGCCGCCAAGGTAGGCGGAGGGGACTGGGGTACAGTTATCATCTCAGTTCCTGGAGCCTCTGGTCATGGGCCTGCAGTGATTCCTGGTGCCTCCAGCAGCTGGGCCTAGCTGGATTTCTGGGGCTTCCATTCTTGTTCGGTACCTCAGCTCTTGGAGCCTCTGGTTGCAGGTGCAGCCACAGTTCCTGGAACTTCTGGTCTCAGGAGCTGCCGTTGCTGCTCCCCTGGTTCTACAACATCCAGGAACTCCAGTCAACCCGCCTTCAGATGTATAAATGTATGGATCTCTCAGATGTTCTAGTGTGTGTGCAGAGTCCTTTCTTTGCCTGTGGATGTCCTACTGGTTGTAACTTAGAGGGGAGAGACAAAGGGAACAACTCATTCCACACTCATGCTGATATCCCTGCAAAGATTATTGATTTTTAACAAAAAGTTAACCTTCAAATACAGAATGTTAAAAGACAATTTAAGAAACTTGAAGGAAGTGTGTGGAAGAAATTAATAAATGTAAAAGCCAATTGGGTAGAAAAATGGAAGTGATAAGTGAAATGAAAAGGTGGTTGTCTGAAAAAACTCCTAAAACAGACAAGTGTTGGGGAAAGTTCGATATGGCATTGCCCCTTTCCCAAGGTCAGGGTAGAACACAAACCTGTTTGATTTGAGTGTTTCTAACCAAGACCTGTGGGGCTTCCCAGTACTTCAATGTTTTCTTGGTTCTTTTGTAGAAACATTGACATACTTTTTCTAATCTTTTAGGGTCAGATGTAGAAGACCTAATGATTATTTCCCTTTTCTTGCATTTTCTTGTTCAGAAATCAATAGAATACGCGTGCTTTATGTGTGTGTGTAGGACACTTGTTATTTTCTCACCTGCTTAATTGTTTTCTCACATCAGTTTTGAATTGATAGATCAATTATTACTTTATTGTCTCTATTCTCCAATAGGGATGTTGGATCTTTAATACCTAGGACATTTTTTATATACATTACTACTCTCAACTAAGCGTCTAGCACAGGGACATAATTTCTTCATTGTTTACTGAAAGAATAAAGGAATAATTCCACATTAAGAACTTAAAAGGAGGCCTAGAGCTTCAAACTTCTCCAACATCCATCAAGGGAACCTCAAGAGTGTTGACTGAATTAAATATTTCATTTTTCTTCCTTTCATATGCCCAGGAACAGTCTTAAATAGTGCTGTCCAGTAGAATGTGTAGATAAGTATGTAATGAAAATATTTTCTTAAGCATGTAAGCAATATAAAAAAGTTATGATATTTTACATTATTTTTCACATTTGAAGTTTTCTAAGTTCCCTGGACACTAAATATTTATCAGATGTACTTGATTTATGTTTAGATCATATAGAATTTAGAGTTGAAAGAGTGGATTAAAATATTCAAGTTGTTCCAAATGTATCAGTGAGCTGTAAGCTCCTAGTGAGACATCTGGTACAGATGGTCCTCCATAAATGACAATTGATGTTACTGATACTCTTGGTATAGAGCATACTGTTTTAGTAGCTTTTAGGTTCTCTCTGCACAATATAGAATCCTTTGGTCTGGGCTTGAGCAGTCATGTTGCTGGTTTACCTAGGATGAGGTTAAGTGGGCCAGAGAATGCTGTTCTCTAAATCAGCTCCTGGTATATGTGCATTAGGTATAGTTGCTGCGTACTCTCCTTCATGAATTTGATTGCCTTGAGAAATGAACAGTCACATTCCTCAGGAATTAAGTTTCCTTCTCTTTAAAATGAACCCACTGTGCTTTTCCTGATGAGCAGCATGGCTCACAGTCCCCTTTTGTGGCTCTAGGTAAGACAGGACTACTCTGACATTTGATGGCAGTGGTGTGTATTTGTGGGAGCTTTCTTGAGAGTGCAGGGATATTTGGGAATTTCAAGCTAGAATGGAATGACTTCCAGGCCTGTGCATGTGGGAATTATCGTCATCTCTGAGTCCTCATGCCTTCTTTCTTTTCTCTTAGGTCTTCTTTCTAGGGACCTCTTCTGCCTTCCTGAGGAAAAGATAGAGGCAGGAAGGATGGTGACTGACAGTTTGACAAATATTTCTCAGGTAATTAGAAAGTATATCCTTCTGCAAAATGACACATTTCATCCACCAATTAAACACATTTCCTTCTAGGTAGATCTGTCTCCAGAGTTTCTTAAAGAAATCAAGCTACTCAAGGACTGAGTCCCTGTTGAATTCCCTCCCAAAATGGAACCTCTCATATTAGTTCTTGTGAATAATCTCAGTATTTCGATAATTACCTTCTAATATTGTCTCTTATGATGGCAACTACATATTTTTTTGTTTTGCTATGTTCTCTGACAGGTAATGAAGATCAATGTGTGTATTTCTCAGAGAATTTATTCACTCATCAACTTTTAAGAGTCTATAATTTGCTTAATGCTGTGCTACAAAAGGGAAATAAGACTAGAAGAGCTTTTAGTCCAGTTGTGAGATAAGTTCATGTGTTAGACATTCCATTAAAGCCACACCTGGAGGCTATCAACCATAATTGAGTGTAGATAGAGAGAAGAGTACCTAGGAGAATTGCTCCTTGGGGGACATGATGAGAGACCTTGAAACCTTTTGTTGCCATTGCGTCTCCCATCTTCATTCCCCGATGAACACTGGTGGAAATGTTTCTTTACTGAAATGAGCTTGTGTGTGATGGTTTAGGACTCAGTTACCTTCACTGATGCGGCTGTGGACTTTACCTGAGAGGAGTGGACTTTACTAGACTCAACTCAGAAAAATCTGTACAGAGATGTGATGCTGGAGAACTACAAGAACCTGAACACAGTAGGTAAGGCTGCCATCTTTCCTGTAGCCTCTTATGGAACAGATATTTTTTGTGTATTTACTATGTTGTAGTATTGGTGATGTGAAAGCTGCACACAATGGAAACTAACACACTAGTCTCTACACTAATGGTTTTAATCTAGTCTGCTTTCTGCAAAAGTGTGGTTCTAGGACTAACACCATCCACATCACTCTCTTGGAAATGTGCCTTCTCAGACTCCACCTTTAAAATAGTGAAGGAGGGCCAGCCCCGTGGCTTAGCGGTTGAGTGCGCACGCTCTGCTGCTGGTGGCCCGGGTTCGGATCCTGGGCGTGCACCGACACACCGCTTCTCCGGCCATGCTGAGGCCGCGTCCCACATACAGCAACTAGAAGGATGTGCAACTATGACATACAACTATCTACCGGGGCTTTGGGGGAACAAATAAATAAATAAATAATTTAAAAAATAATAAAATAGTGAAGGAAACTCTTGGCTGAGACGTGCATTTTAGTAATAACACTTCACATGATTCTAACGAACAGCAAAGTTTGACAGCCGCTGGTGTAGTGGTTTCTCCATGAGAATGAACATCACTTTTTTCACTTACTTTTTTTTGCTATTTCAGTTAAAGTATTAATGCTTTGTTACATGTATATATACATCTGAACATGGGTTTCAGGGGCCGAGATAACCAATATCTTGATGCACAGAAAGACGGGATATTTGCATTTTTAGGTCTTTTGAAATAATTTTACTGCTTTCATTAGAAATATAGGAGTTGATTCACGGGAAAGTTTATCGTCTTTTGCAGGGAACTTTTCCATTAATACATCTTTCCCTGTGAACAGAGTACCAGCTGTTCAAACCCAGTCTCATCTCCTGGTTGGAAGAAGAAAAGTTGAGGACAGTGGAGGGAGGAGTCTTCCAAGGTGAGTGAGTGTGAAGAACTTCCCTAGTCAATGAAAATTTCAGTATGTTTGGAATGACAATGAGGAAACTTTAAGATGTACTTTCTCTAGAAAGCTGGCATTGGTCTCTGAAAGTTTGGGATATCATCAGCTTGTCATATGTTCTTGCTTTACATTTATGCAAAATTTCTTATGATCTCAGTTCTGTTTCTTTTTAACTTTATCATTTTTATACATGCTCTTTGTCTAGAACTTTCCTACTTTGTTTCCCTGGTAGTATTCTGTTTTCTTTTTCCCATTATGTTTAATTTTCATTAAGTCATTTTAATCAACTACTGAATTTTGACTACACATCATCATTGCTAAATTTTTGATATAGCTAAACTCCGCAAATCTAATTTGCCCTTTTGTTTTTCTAGTATGTTTAATTTGACAATAATACAAATGAGCTTTATTGTTTTTAGCTCTTTAACCTACATTTCTTTCTGCAAATTCCTACATTTCTTACTCTTTTTTATTTTAGAATGGGAAATACAACTTAAAACCAAAGACTCAGCAGGATATTTTTGGAGAGAATACATCCAATAGGATAGAAACAATAAGATCAGTAATGGTAAGTTTGAAAGGAGATATTTCTTATTTTCTACATTCTGAAAAGATTGGGATTTTCGTTAGATAGAAAATGAGCACAAGTGATAGATACTTGAGATAAGTGCCATTCTCCTGAGAGAGCAATGTCTTTGTAGAGATATTCTGAATATGATGAATTGCAGAATATTTTAAATCTAGCCTGAAAGTTGTCACCTCGAAATTCCTAGAAGGGCTCTTTCCAACTTATCTAACTAAACATTGAGTTTTTAATGCAATTCAATGAAATTGTACAGGAAACTTTTAAGATTAGAGTAGATGGCATATCATTCTTGTTGAAAGGTTCCATGATTCAGCCTGAAAGAAATCGACAGGAAAGGAAATATATGAATGTAAATGGAAATGACAAAAATCATCATTATCATTGTAATGATGTTTCTATTATGTGATAGGTAGTATTAGTTATCAAGGCTGAGAAATCTTTGAATTAGCATTCTTCCATTCACCAACAGGAAAGGATCCACAATGGGTGGGAACTCTGTGATTGTGAGCAATGTGGGAAAGTCTTCAGTGAACATTCATGCCTTAAGACACACAGGAGAACTTAAAATGGAGGAAACACTTGTGAGGATAATCAGTATGGAAATAGCTTCCATATTCTGCACAAGAAAACTTTACCTGGAGAAAAAATTTGTATGTTTTATCAGTGAGGTAAAGCCATCAGCCTGACTCTAGATATTGGGTGCTGGAAAACTAGCATGCAAGAGAAAGCCTTTGAATGCAGTGACAATGGGAAAGCCTTTGTTAATAAGTATTATTTTCAGGCACCAATGAGAACCCACAATGGAGAAAAACTCTCTGAATGGAAAGAAGGTGAGAGATCTTTTATTCAGTCCACAAGCCTTGGTGTGCATGTACAAACTCATACTGCTAACAATCGTTACAAATATAAGGAATGCAGAAAATCCTCTATACAATCTGCATACCTTAACACTAACGATAAAATTCACACCAGAATAAAACCCTTTAAATGTAAGGAGTGTGGGAAAGACTTGAAGTCTTTTCATCTCACTGAACATGTAAAAACACACACTGTAGTGAAGCCTTGTCTTGGTGAGGTACGTGGAAATTCGTTCGGAAGTTCCTCATGTCTTCGTATTCGCAATCAAATTTATGCTGGACTAGAACTGTATAAATATAAGAAGTGTAGGAAAGTCTTTAAACATTCTTTGCATCTTAGTGTTCACATGCAAAGTCACACTGAAGAAAAACCTTACGAATGTGAAGAATGTAGGAAAGCCTTTCCTCAATTCTCAAGCCTTACTGAACATATAAAAACTCACACTGGAGAGAAGCCTTTTAAATGTGACAAATGTGGGAAAGGTTTTGCTACTTCCTCAAATCTTACTAAACATTCGGGATCTCACACTGTAGAAAAACCATTTGAGTGTAATATATGTGGGAAACAATTTGTCAGTTCTTCGTACTTAATCATTCACAAGTGTACTCACACTGGAGAGAAACCCTATAAATGTAAGGAATGTGGAAAAAGCTTTAACCATTCTTTCCACCTTAAAGTTCACATGCGAACCCACACTGGAGAGAAACCCCATGAATGTAAGGAATGCAGAAAAGCCTTTACTGATTCCTCAGGCCTTTTTTACCATATAAAAACTCATACTGGAGAGAAGCCTTTTAAATGTGCCATGTGTGGGAAAGCTTTTGCATTTTCATCACATCATAACAGACATTTTAGAACTCACACTGGACAGAAGCCTTTTGAGCGTGATATATGTGGGAAAACATTTGCCTCTTCTTTGTACATTATCATTCACAAGTGTATTCACACTGGAAAGAAACCTTATAAATGTGAAAAATGTGGGAAAACCTTCACTCAATCCTCAGGCCTTACTGTACATATAAAAACTCACACTGGAGAGAAGCCTTTTAAGTGTGACACATGTGGGAAAGCCTTTCCTACTTCCTCACATCTTACTACCCATTTTAGAACTCACACTGGTGAGAAGCCTCTTAAATGTAATATATGTGGGAAAACATTTACCATCTCTTCATCCTTTATCAATCACAAGTGTACTCATACTGGAGAGGAACCATATGAATGTAAAGAATGTGGAAAAGGCTTTAAACGATCTGTACACCTTAACATTCACATGCGAACCCCCAGTGGAGAGAAACCCTATGAATGTAAGGAATGTGGGAAAGCCTTCACTCAATCCTCGGGCCTTACTGAACGTATAAAAACTGACACTAGAGAGAAGCCTTTTAAATGTGACACATGTGGAAAAGCCTTTGCTCTTTCCTCACACCGTAACAGACATGTTAGGACTCATACTGGACAGAAGTCTTTTGAGTGTAATATCTGTGGGAAAACGTTTTCCAGTTCTTCGTATATCTTCATTCACAAGCGTACTCATACTGGAGAGAAACCTTACAGATGTAAGGAATGTGGGAAATCTTTCAGTTTTCACAATTCCTTTCGGCATCATGAAAGAACTCACCTGGAGAGAAATCCTATCAATATAAGGAATATGGTAAAGCCCTCAGTAGCCTCAATTTGCTTCAGAGACATGATAGGACCATACTGCGGAGTTGCTCTACAAATGTAAGGAATGAGGGAAAGCCATCAGAATCTCATCACAACCCACCATGTAAGGACTCACAGTGAAGCCATTCTTTTAAGAGTCGTGGGAGGTCCTTTCCTGTTTCCTCGTTGAAATGATATTTCTTACATAGGAGAGAGCTTGTAGTGGAGAGAAATTCAACTGACGTAATATATTTTGGGAAATTGTTCTGCAAATGTTCACTTGTGATCTCGCTATGGAGAAAAACTTTATGAATGTCAGAAGTGTTGTAGAGTCGTCATCATTTTCCATAAGATTCTTTTTCATCCTTAATAAACATGGGATAGTTCTCGGTGAAGAGAAACTGAATATAGGAAATAGGGGAAATGCTACCCTGAGTGTGAATCTTAGAGTCTTCTTAGGTACATAGCATTCTAGGTGGTTCTGTAGATCTATTCTTAGCATTTTTGAGTAGGCCCTGACCGTTCCTACGTATAATGTCTTTTTTGCTTTTGATAGGCCAGTCTAGTTGCTACACCTTCCAGGTTGCAACCTGGTCAAAAGTATGTCCACAGGATTTATACTTAATCCTCTTCTCACCACCTGGATTCTCTTGTTGGGTTGACATGATCTTACTTTTTGAAGACAGTGAATGCTTGACTGTGTACAGTGCTCACTGGACTCATTTACAACAAGCCACACTGGCCAAGGCAGTGGTTAAAATACATCTGTGTAAATTTTATAAAACTACCTTGTTCTTCTCACACCTGATCCTTTCAGATAAAAAGTCAGTGTCAAGCATGGGATGAGTGGGAAAAAAGAGATTACACCTACTGATATGAAACAGTCCGATTTCATGACCTTTTTAGATGAACAACCACCTTACCACCTGGGGAGGGCCTTTAACTTGAAGCCGTACAGGGTGATGGTGAGTAATAGTGAATGTTTCTTTCACACCTTACCCAACACCATAGCCTGGCAAAACAGTGATATCATTTGTCTGTGTCAAGCAACAGCTGTCACTAGTGATATGACCTGCTTCTTTGTTGGTCATTCCATCCATGGGCTGTGGAAATAGAAAAATTCATGTGAATATAGCTGATCCTAATAATGTGCTTTCCTTGACGTCCTTCCTGGCAGTTGCTGAATGTGAACCTTGGGTGTAGAGAGAACAGCACAACCTTATTTCAGCTCCAGTGGTACAAATTCACATAGTATGGTTGCTCAAGCAGCCTTGGGTTACGTCAGGTATGGCCATCAGGCGTTCAGCTGCTTGATGACACTTTCTTGAGACTTTCAAATCACTGTATGGTTATCTAAATCAAGCTTAAAAAGAAATCCCAAACAAGAATTCTGTGCACGTTTTTGTAACATCTTTTTTATGTGGAGGAGTATGTCATGTTATGTTTTACTATTGGGTATGTATGTTATTCTTTAGCCCTTCTGTTGCCCCCTTTAGTTATTGGCAACAATACCAAAGATCAGATTAGTCTTAACCTTTTTTGTGCCCTGTGTCATAGATTGGCCTTAGATGAGAGCGTAATTATCTGAAAGAAGACCTGTTGGTCCTACCAGAATTTGTCACGGTTGCCTGAGTCTAAGACCTTGTGGATAGTGTTTGAAGTCACTCCTGCAGATTGGCCTCACTCTGCTGCCTGCATTCCTAGTGACAGCAGCCTCATTACACACTATACAAGAGAAATCAAGCAGACTTGGTCTCAGCTTTTGTTGGTCAGTGGCTGACAAAGTGGCGTATTCCTGTGAAAAAACTCCAAAAGCCAAAATGATGTGAACCATGTATGCTACAACACAGTGAGCCTTTAAAAATATTGTAACTGAAAACAAGTGATTGATAAGAGATTATATGATTTCATTTGTAAGGAGTGTCTAGAACATATGAATCTACAGAGACAGAAAGAAGATTGTTCACCTATATATAAGAGAGAAGAGAAATGGGGTGTTTGACAGCCAAAGGCTACTTTTGAAGTGATGAAAAGGTTCTAAACATAATTTTACACAAGCCTGTGTTTAGTAAACAGCATTGAGTTGTATAGATTTAAATGGATAAATTGTTTGATATGTGAATTATATCTGAATAAAGCTGTTTCAAGAACCAAAAGAGAAGATTATGAGAGTACCTACACCGTTGGGAAGTTCTGCACATAATTAATTTAATGTGTCTGAGACATGTAGCATGGTAAGATGTAACAAACATTAGCTACCCTTATATTTTTATCACTACATATTAAAACTTAAACTATTATAATCAAAGGTTATGATATGGGCATAAGTACATATAACACTATACAGAAGCGTCTAATACAATTAGATACTCCCATATTAGATACTAATACAATATGGGAGTTTAGTGTTTAAGAAAGATGGAATTTCAAATCAGTAGGTCAAGGATATTTTATCACTAAGTACTACTACAAAAATTGACCTTCATTTGGAGG